TGTCTGGAGGAGGTGGTACAGAGTGGGTATCACTTCTTTCATCAAATATTTAATAGAATCCACCTGTGTCTGATTCTTTCATTTTTTAGAAGGTTTGAAATTATTATTTCAATTTCTTGCAAAGAGACAGGTCTACTTGGATTGTTTATTTCTTCTTGTGTGCATTTTGGAAGAGTATGTCTTTTAAGGAATCATTTTATTTCATTAAGCTTATCACAGATTGTTCATGATATTCCTTTATTATTCTTTCAATGTTCATGGGATCTGTAGTGATGTCCTTTTATTTTCATTTCTGATATTAATGATTTGGGCCTTCTCTTTTTCTTTTCTTAGCCTTGTTAGAAGGTTATTTTATTAATCCCTTCAAAGAACCAGCTTTTGATTTTATTGCTGTTCTCTATTGACTTTTTTTCAGTTTCATTGATTTTTGTTAAATTTTTGTTATTTTTTTCTTTTGTTTACTGTGAAATTAATCTTCTCTGCTATTTCTAGTCTTCTAAGTTTAATTATTTGTGTGTAGGTCTTTTGTCTTTTCTAATATATCCATGTAATGCTCTTGAAGCACTGCTTTCATTATGTCTCATTCATTTTGGCAAGTTTTTTTCATTTTCACTGATTTGCAGATATTTACAATTTTCTCTTAAAATATATCTTCTTTTAACTGTTGTGTTATTTGGGAGGTATACTGTTAAATATCCAAGTATTTTGGGATTTTCCAGCTTCCTGTTACTGCTTTCTAGTTTAATTACATTAGGGTCAAAGACTAGGCATTGTATACTTTCTGTTCTTTTAAAATTGCTGGGCTGTGTTTTTATGGCCCAGAATATTTCGGTCTATCTTGTTGTATTAGTCCGCTTTCCATCATTATCACAAAATACACGAGATAACTTAAAAAGAGAAAAGTCTGTCTTTGACTCAGCATTTCAGAGGTTTCAGCCCACGGTTGATTTGCTCTATTGTTTTGGGTCCACAGTGAGGCAGCACATCATGGCTGGAGTGTATGGTTGCTCACCTGATGGGCCAGGAAAAGAGAGAAAAACGGAGAGACAGACAGACAGACAGGGAGAGAGAGGAAAAATAAGAACTGGTGTCCCACAAGCCTCTTTGTGGTGTGGCCTCAGTGACCTGGAACCTCCTACCAGGCACTACATCCTGATAATGCTATGGGCTGAAGACTAAGCCTTTGACACAGATTTTGCAGACCCTTAAGATCTAAACTATAGCCTTTGGTGAGTGTTTATATGAGTTTGAGAAGAATTTGTGGTGCTCAGTTGTTGGAGTAATTTACATATTTTCATTATATCAAGAGGGTTATTGGTGTGATTGAATTCAACTAGGTCTTCATTGGCTTTCTGCCTGCTAGATCCGTCAGTTTCTCACTTATGCTAGGCAAGTGCTTTACCACTGAGCTACATCCCCAGCCTTCAGTTCTTTCTGATAGACAGGTATTGAAGTCTTCTGCTGTAATAGTGGACTCATCTCTCCTGTGTAGCTCCATCAGTTTTTGCCTCATGCATTTTGATGATCAATTGGTAGGTGTAGACACATTAAAGACTGTTATATCTTTCTGGAGAATTGACGCCTTTATTATTATATGGTGCTGTGCTTTATCACTGACATCTTTCTTTGAAATCTGCTCTATCTGAAGTTAATCTAAATATTCCTGCTTTCTTTTGATTAGTTTTAGGATGGTTTATCTTTCAGTAGTCATTTATGACATAGTTATATTAAGTATTACTATTTTGTATTTATTCCCTCTATTCTTTTTTTTTTCTACTTTTGTATCTCATCCTTTTTCTGTTTTTGTGGTTTTAGCTGAGCATTTTATGCTATTTCATTTTCTTTTCTTACTATATCAGTTATTCTTTTGCTTAAAATGTTTTCAACTTATATCTACTATTACTCTGGGTCTACTTTCAAAAAGCATTATACCATTTCAAAGGTAGTGCAAATACCTTGTAATAACATAGTCCTAATGTCTTCCTCCATCTTTCAGAGCATTGCAGTCATGCATCTCACTTATATATAAATATATATGCATGTATTAGCATACATAGCCATGAACATTGTTGCTACCACAATTTTTGAATAGTTGTTGTCAGTTAAGAAGGAGACACCCAGTATGGTGGTTCACCCCTGTAATCCTAGCACTCGGGGAGGCTGAGGCAGGAGGATTACAAATTCTAGCCTAGGAAGGGTAACTTAGTGACTTAATGAGATCTTCCTTCAAAATTTTAAAAAGGGGCCAGGGATGTAGCTCGGTACAAAGGCTGTGGATTCAATCCTCAGTACTGGAAAAAAAAGAGGGTTATTTTTCTTCTCCCCTGCTTGCAATCACAATTTGTCCGTAGTATTTACTGTGAGAGCCTAGTTGAGCTCCTAGAGGCGAAACAACAAAGTGTGGAGCTCCCCAGTGACCTAGTGCACCTGGGGTTTTTAATCCCAAAGATTTGTCCATGCTTAGCCTCCAGTAATTTGTCAGTTGCAGCTCAGGCTTTCTCACTAGGCTGTTTCCACTGCAGGTCTCTGCAGTGGTGAGTTGTGCTTCTCATGCTGTCCTCCTTTCTGTCTCTCTGATTAGCAGGCTGTGGATTGCTCTGTGACCTCACTTCTTGGACAGGTCTATTGAGAGTTGTTGCATTTCCAGTTGGTTCAGCTTTTTGTTGTTAGGCTGGAGGGCAACTTCTAAACTACATACTTTCCAGAGTATAAGCTGGAAGTCTCTTTAGTCATTTTAAAAAGTTGGTGTTATGGCTTATATCTAGATGTGCCTTCAAAACCTGCTGTATTCATAAGTAGGGCTTTTGTGAGAAGGGTGGATCCTGCTTGTTTGATACTGGGATTAAGGGTATGTTGTATATATTAGTCCACTGGTTGGTTTAGCATAGTTCTGGGTGTGGATAATGGGAAGGTCCATCCTGGTGCGGGTGGCACCAACCGGTAGGTTTATAGCCTAAAGGAATAAAAAGGGAAAGGGAGGCTCGGGCTGGCTGCTTTCTGTCTGCCCTACCATGTACTGTTTCTCCTTTGCCAGGCCACCCTGCCTTGGAACCAGCTGATATGGAATGAACCCTTTACAAGCTGTGAGCCAAAATAAACCTTTCCTCTCTTAACTTGTGGGTGCTAGGTATTTTGTCCCAGCAACAAGAAAGTAATGAAGACAGTTGAAACTGGTTGCTGTCGATAACACATTGCAGAGATTCTAATTTCTGTTTTCATTGAGTTTTGATCCTACAGGTAGCTAGTAAATTGTTTCCCTTGAATTTAAAGAGGCTTGTTTTACTTTTCTAGGACTGGTCTTTTAGATTTTGTGCTTGATTTTAAACAAAGTCCTTACTTTTAGGACCTGATTTCTACTCCTAGCCAGTTTTAGTGAACTCAGTGGAAAATCTGAGGTGTCTGTCACACTCCACTAATGTAATGAACTCATACTCTAAACTCCGTCTTCCCTGCTGTAGGTAGCAGAAATGCCTGTTTAGCTACTTGCTTCTCTTAGCTTCTCCTAGAATCTTGCCCATGGGCATGTACTCTTCAGGAACAGGAGGAATTTATATTAGGTTTTAGGCATCGCTTCTGTCTTCTTTCTCCCGGGATTTTCTCCATCAATTTTCATCTTTTGTGGCAGCTTTGAACTCTTGATACCTCAAGCCAGAGAGACTGAAGCTTTTGTCTGGAGGTCTAGTTGCTCAGGCTGTATAGACTGGGGAGTGTCCCCAAGGGAAGACTTTGAAACGCATCCAACCCAGTGTGGCTTCCTTCTGTCAAGGGTCAAATCTCTTCCAGTTTCTGCCTGTCATGTTTATTGTCTAGTGTCTTTTTTCTTTTTCATACATTGCCTGGAAGTCATAACTGTTACCCAGAAGAGGGTAGTTCTATGCAAAGTACTTCACTCTTCCTTTAAATGGAATTACTTTTTTTAAAGAGGAGGAGTCTATTCCAACTTGGGCTTGACTGATTGTCAGAGCTCATGTCACTTTGTCTGCCCCTTACTAGTAATGAAGAATAGTCAGATTCTGCTCTGAGCTCTTGGTAGAGATGGTAACTCCTAATCTCTGCTGAACAACCTCAATCCCAGTCACAGGAGGAAAGGCACAAGGTGCGGGTCTGTGGTTATGCAGTCTATGCAGTCTTCTCTGTATTTCAAATTTTATTTCTGGCAGATTGTGCCAGAATGGGTTTGGTCCTTGTAGATTTGCCTTTACTGCTTTGCACTTTGGCATTATTCTCTCTTATTGTGACAGGAAGTCACAGCTTGACCATCTTAATCACGTGGCTGAATGTCATCGATCTGTCCCTGATGCAGAGTCCCCTGGCAGAACAGCCACTGCATCATTTCTCAGACCTTGGTGCTGGAAAAGCTCAGCTTCTGATGAGGAGTTGATAACATTTCTCTTACTGATGTTTGGCCCCTGAGAAGCTCAGGGGCACACGCTCATGTTTTCAAGCCTTTGCCTTAATTCCTTTGTTTATTCAGTTATATTTCTGCCAAGTACCTGAACTACTTTTTCATTGATAAGAGGTAGGGAGGTCATTGGAATCATGAAGAGCCAGGTCACTGCCACCCCTCCAAACATTTTTGGTCACCCCTCCCTATTTTGGGACTACTATAATGGCCAGGTGCTAATCCATATAAGAAGCTCATCTTCCACTCAAAGTGCAGTTACACACCTTGTCTTCACCTAGTTCACCAAATAGTGTTCAAGAAATCAATGTTCAAAACAATTTGATTTACTCCAGAAGGGTAGAGATGAAAGGTATTTGAGTGAATGCCCTATTGGCCCTGAAGGTGGCCCCAAGGGGAACTTCCACATTGTGGTGGATGACAGGATCATCATCATCAGGAGAAAACAGATCTCCAAGTAATTTATTTGTCAGGGAGAACATTTCTTTGAATTTCCAAAGGCTGGCTTGTTTAAATTAATATGCAGTCAGTCACGGCTCTCTTCACAACACAGGCCAAGGCTGAGTCTGGCCAGGTATTCATTGGCTCGTCTCCGCAGGTGGAGCCAAAGCCTGTGACGGGAGCCTGGGGCCAGAGCAGCGGCACGATCTCCCTCTCATCTTCAACCTGGAAGAGGACGCTGCAGAAGGTGCGCCACTCCCGAGGGGCGGCGCCGAGTACCAGGCTGTGCTGCCCCGGGTCAGGAAGGTTCTTACAGAGGTCCTGCAGGACATTGCCGATGACAACACCTCCCGAGCCGACTACACTCAGGATCCTGCAGTAACTCCCTGCTGCAATCCCTATCACATTGCCTGCCGCTGCCAAACTGTGTAACAGGCCGACTTTGCCACAAGGAGGAATGTTTGGAAATTAGATGAACTGTTTTGGGCCACTACTTTGTAACTGTTCCTTCTCCATGCTGGCTTGGGAGAACAGCTGAGCTGGCTCTTGGGGCCGTCAGCACGGTGAAATGTGCCACGCACAGGCTTTGGAGTCAGGCACAGGGCCAGGCCCCAGGTTCTGAACTCGGGCAATTACTTAACTTCGCTTGCAGGTTGATTTTGAAGGTCACCTAGTACAGGAAACCGCCTTACACATTACCTTACACAGAGCAGATGCATTTTTAATACATTTTCACTTATAGGTCGTTCCAGGATAGGTTCATTCCAAGCAGTACATGGAGCAGAGCTTCTCCATCTTCACTGTATATACCGATCACCTGGACTCTGTTGAAAACCTAGATTCTGGCTCAGGAGGCTTGAGGGGGGTGGCGAGAGCCCGTATTTCCAGTAGGTCCCCACAGGGTATCTGAAGAAACTAGACAAAGTTAGGTCTCTTTCTAGGTCTCAGGGCAGAAGAATCCATGGAAAAGTCCCTGGTCCTCTTTTTAGGGTCAAATTAATGGGGTTTTGTTTGTTTTGTGGCACTAGGATCGAACTCATGGCCTTTATACTGAGCTACATTCCCCATCCCTTTGTATTTCTCATTTTGAGACGGCCTCCTGCCTCAGCTTCCCAGAGTGCTGGTGTTACAGCTGTGCTTCACCAGGCCCAGCCAAATGTAAAGTGTATTGTAAAGAATTTAGGAGTTCTTCCTGGCCCTCTAAAATCTCCCAAGGCATGAAATGAAGTTTAAGAAACTAAAAAAATGCATTGCCATATTTTATTAGTGTCCTAAATGGGACTCAAAGGTAATAAATGATTTATTCCAATCACTGCAAAAATACTTTGCCTGGCTAAAATAATGTCTCTATATGAATGTAACATACAAGAAATACAATTCAAAGAGTTTTTTTTCTATAAGTACATTTTTTTTACACAGCATGCATTTAAAAAGGATGCCCTTTTTAATATAAAATTCCAGCTATATACCAATATGGTTAGTTAGCATTTACACGGTGGTTTGAAGTATTTTAAATAGCATGATGTAGATACAGTGTCCCCAGTGCCCAGGGCAGCCAGGACCAGGGTCTCAGTGAGGAGCCCGCCGTGTTCCGGGGCTGAGGAAGCACAGCACCCAGATTCCTGCCCGCCCTTTTCTGTTCACACACTTGTACTCCATTCTTCCACCTTCCTGGTTTTCTCCAAAACCACCTGACAGGGAGTGTTCTGATTTCTGAGGAGCGCTTCTCGTCAGGACTGCTTCGTTTTGCCCTTCTGACTTCCACGGCACAAGATTATCTACCGAAATCAAAACAGAATGGCCTTACTCTCCCCAGGAAGAGGCCGTGGTGGGACACCATGGGGCTTTTCCATGGGCCCGCGGGCTGACCTTCACCCCCAGCCTCATGAAAAGTACCCATCTTATGTGGGCAAAAGACAAGCATGGCGGATTCCAAAAATACTGACACCAAATGTGCATGCACGTGTGTGGATGTATATGTGCACTTTCTAAAAGGCTCATCCTACTTGTAAAAGACTGCCGGATCACTACCACAGGGTCAGTGTACATCCTGCCTCACTGTCACTCACAAGGTGGAGACAAGTCTCCCAACGCGCAGACCCGTGCGCTGGCTGCCCACTGAGGCAGAAGCTTCTCAGCCTTTGGGGGCAGCCTCTTCCCAGGTGTCAGAGATGCCCAGCTCTCTTTGACCTCTAGGACGTCCCAAGGAGGAAAGGGGTGACATGCACGGCAGTGTCAGTACGTTTCACAAAGGCCGTTAGTGATGGCCCGTGTTCTTCAGGCAGAGGCTCAGGGAGCGCGCTAGGCAAGCCTGGGCTGTGGAGAACAGGGCTGTCAACCAAGCCCAGACACTGAGATTCTTGTGTAGTCTCAGAAGCTCTTAAAGAATACAAGCAAAGACGTGGACTCTGGACACATTTGCGAAAGGCACGGTAATTGTGAAGAAAGGCGAGGAGAGGGAGTTTCTAGCATCCCTGATGGGCGTTGCTGCCGCCGTGGGGTAGCTGACAGGCCATGGAGTGGCACCCAGTGGCCCTCATGTCTGTGGTCGCTGTGCGGTGAGATGGAGAAGCTGCCTGCTACTGACAAATGTCCTTCTCCCCATCTATCAGCAGTAAGGACACCTAGCACCTGCCCTGCATGCAGGGGCTGCCTGATGCTGCTGTAACCTCATTCAATGACCAGCCATCTCTCTGGGAGGAAACATTTCTTTTATATTGATGAAAATTCTTGATAAAGTTTAAGCCAATTTTTACTCATCAGGTCCTTAAGAAAATGATAGGACAACGGGCTCCTACCCAGCTTCCTGCAGTATATTTGAGGCCTGGTGATAGTTTGAGCCCTGGTTCAAATATTCAGCATCTCTAATTCTGTTTTTACTACACACACATGCACACAAGGCACCTATTATTTTATTCAGACTTTTTTTTTTTTTTTGGCCAAGGAACTACCTCCTAATTGCCAATGTCCAAAATATCCCAATTCTGTAAATATGAGAGCCTGCAATTTTGCTGATTACAATTAGGAATCTAATTCATAATTTCATAATCTTTTAGACCAGTCACAGGCTTTTACCAAAATCACTAGAACAGAACTGGTGAGTGTCTAAGTGCTCTAAGCCTGGATGGAGGAGAAGGATGGGCACATTCATCCCCAGTCTGACCTAGGATGCTCTGGTTCCTGGAAGGTGCAGTTTCAGTGGAATCATCACCAACTCATAGAAAAACTCCCTCGGGGTGAGTCAGCATCATAAGAACCCAAAGGCAAAACAACTGGTGAGGTAACAACTGTTAGGTGGCAAGCCCCCAGATACTGAAAGATGTAAAATTAGTATTTTAAAGAACCACTCTGCTCTACCAATAAAATACAGACATCACTTGCTGGCAGCATAGCTGGAAACCTGTCTATGAAAAGCTAGAAATGCGAATCCCAAGCTGCAGTCCACAGAGCCAACAAAGAAGTCACAAACACCCCTAGCAAAGCACAGACGGCCCCACAAGAGCTTTGTTCTTCTTTCAGCCAAATGGGCTTCCTAGGTTGCTCCGTGGATCCATGGGAGAAAGAACCAAACCTGCACGCCATCGTGTCCCAAGTGAATCTCACTGACGTAGAGCAGTGGTCAACAACGCACTCCATATAAGCCCTCGGGGACACTGTCAGCTGCTCCTCTCTGGCTCTAGGCGTTGGTTGTCCCAGCCGGGGCCTGACATTGCTTCCATCTGCAGTGATTTCGAGTTGACTCTCTAGGGTGTTTGCTAACTGAAGCTTACAGTAAGGGTCTCTGGATTTCTCTAAACGGAAGCTCGAAGAAACCACAACTAGGGAAGTCCCACCCTCTTCTCCCAGGAGAGAGTCTTTCTCCAGACACAACAGTTAGAAACAGTTCAGCCCAGTGCTAAGCCAGCCCCAGAGACCTTTGCTGCTGGAACAGTTGCAGGAAGGTGCTGGGAAGCTCCACCAATGATGCACAAGTGGGAAAGTCAGGATGGTGGTGCACACCTAAAATCCCAGCACTCTGGGAGGCTGAAGCAGCAGGGTCACAAGTTTGAACCCAGCCTGGGCAACTTAGCAAGACTCTGTCTCAAAATAAAAAATAAAAAGATCTGGGGATATAGCTCAATCCCCAGGACCTCAAATAAAAGAAAAAGACAAGATGCCCAGGTAAGCTCACACATTCCAGCTCCGGCCTTCCCCTTGGGGGTGTCTTAATGAGTGCCTGCAGCTTCTGGGAGGCTTGGGTCTGCCCTGCCAAGGCCAGAAGCAGGGTGCAGGTCACTGCTCTGCAAGTCTCCAGGAAGCTCAGTGTCTCTACATGCAGTGCAGCCCCATTAACCTGACACCTCCAGCAGCAGAAAGGCAGCATTCTGCAAAAGCACCCTTAGGAGCCGCAGGAAACTTAAGAGTTCTATGCAGGAAAAGTTTCCCACCTATGAGCAGCAAAATCAGTATAGAGAAGCAGAGGAAATGAGTCCAGGCTGCTGGGTGTGGGGAGCGCCCCAAACTCCCTGGATTAGTATTCAGTCGCCCCAGTGGGGTCAGGGTTTAGAGTGACACCACACCGCCAGTCGGCAGGGTCCACAGCACACACAAGGGACGTTCTATGGCTCTCTGGATCTTAGAGAAGGGATCAGTTGTTAGTAACTAGAAAACAGGGAAAGTGACTCAGCCTCTTGTACAAGGTAAAGTTCCCTTCCAGGCACACAGACACAGCTGCTCTTTTATGGATCCGTAATGCTTACAGGGGGGAACTCATTCTCGTCATCAAGACACACTGGGCCTGTTGCAAACTCGTGTTCTGGAATAACTTCACCTCGGAGCGCCCCGCCATCCTCGGAGTAACCTGGAACCGAGAGTGAGACAGGAAACAAGCCACACGGTCAGTTCTTAGCCCATGACCCAGTGCACGACCTCGGAGGACGGGACGATCAAGGAGCCCGGGGAGCCATCTTTGCCTTCCAGCTGGAGGGACTGCTTACCTGTCTAAACCCTGTCAGTTACGGTCTCTGAGTCCCAGAGAGACAGTGGTCTCATCCTCCCTTCCACCCTGGATGGCTGAAATTTCCACCTTTGGCTTTCTCCAAGAGGCAAAGGATTAATGCTGAAAATGAACCTCTTGTACTACACCTGTCAGGGCTGAGGACCCAAGTTGGAAGCTGTTACCTGGCCTCATCCATGAGCAAACAGCTCAGAAATATCTTGAGCAGAGCACTTGAGCCCCAGGTAACAGGGGAGGGGCAGGCTGGCCCCATGCCACTCACCTGGCACAGTGGAGGCTGCAGATGTGCTCGGTCTGGCTACGGTCGCTGCGTAAGACTGAGGTAAAGAAGGTCTGAGGTCATTTTCTTTGTTCTCTTTGGTCGTTCCTGAGCCAAGCAAACTACTTGCAGCAATTAAGAGGGGGAAAATAAAAATGAAAAAAAATCACCTATCTAGAAAACTGTCACAGGGAAAAGCTCAGAGATACAGCTCCGCTACCTGATTGTAAGCACACAGCCAGGCCAGTAGGAAGTGCAGCGGCCTTGTTGCCAGCGGTCAGTCAGGCAGCTTCAAAATGACTGCCTTCCCTTATATTTAATCACCAAAGGCTGGGCCCTCTGCCCTTCCTAGTGCACGCAGGCAAGGATGCCAGGGCCACGGGCAAGGGAGCAGTGGCAGCTCAAGGTGTCTTGTTCTAAGCAGAACAGAAAGCCAGCCTGTCACAGAAGTTCGGGAAACTTTTCAACGATATTCTATGGACATTTTTGAACACCCACTGTGTACTTGAGGCTGGGTTAGATATTCCATGGTGCAATGTATCCTGGCACTGTCCAGAAGGGCGCAGCACGCAGAGAGTGCCTGGCAATGCTCCTGAGCAAAGCAGGGGCCCACTAGGGGTTTGTAGCCCAGACTGCCGGTGAAGTGGCTGGTCAGTGTCCCATTGATGTCACAGCTCTGCACTGCCAAGTCCTGAATAGCTGTCCTTGGAAAGCTAGAATCTTCACCTGTGGGTCTTGATTAGGACGCACTCTCCTCCATCCTGAGGATCCAAATTGTAGATGTAAAGGTGTCCATTGGAGGATGCAACTAGCAGCCTTGGCAATTTCTGGATCCTAAGGGCCAGGTGAAACATGAATTGTGATTACAGTGAAGATGGGTAATGGAGCCATTTCAACTACCCCTCAGCAGTCAGTCACCTGTTCTTCTGTGTGGAGAAACTCTAATCCCACACATCCCGAGTCCAGGCTTTCCGTTCCTTCGCGTTCTGACCAATGATTGATGTTACGGTTTGGATCAGATTATGTCTCCCAAGGTCTCAAGGGCTCGGAGGTGAGTTGTGTTTTTTTGTTTGTTTGTTTTGTTTTAGCTAGCAGGTTTTTAGATTAATCCAGTTCAGAGCTGGATGTTCTATTATGAGGCAAGGGCTGACTGGAGGAAGCAGGTCCCTGGGGTCATGAGCTGAAAAGGTACATGCCGTCTACGGCCCTTCCCTCTCTGGCTCTTTCCCTACTCTGTTTCCTGCCTGTCACAAATGAGCAGCTTTCCTTCACTTTCTCCTTCCACCATGATGTTTCTGCCTTGGAGCCAGCTGACCCTGGACCGAGACCTCTGAAACCATGAGCCCAAATAAACCCTTCTTCCAACAAGCTGAGTATGTTGGGTCACAGTGATGACAGCTGGTACAAGAAGTGGGTACGCTCCTCGACCATGTGGTTCATAAGGCTTTAGCACTGCTTTATGGGAAGAGTCAGGAGTGGCTGGAGATTCAGGCTGGAGGGAGCTTGTAGACTGTCAGTGTTATTACAGTGAAGATGCACAACTGGGCCAGCTTCAGCTGATGCTCCTGCCAGGGACAACCCTTCGCCCAGTGACCCAGAGTCTGAGCTTCTGAACATTCCTTTGTTTTCTGGCTGAACAATCTTACTTTCAGGGTTATTTCTGGTCTTTGAACATAACTGTGAGGACAAGGCAAAATGGCACGCCTGGTACTCTTATCCTGTGAAAGCTACTGCCACTAAACGTGACTGTCTCCATCGTACATCATGTGTCCCTGCCTTATTGGTGACAGGGAGGGGAGAAGGGTACAGTGAGCTTGCTGTCTTGCCTTGAAGAATTTTAAATGGTCCACTTCTTTAGTAAACTTTCTTAAATTACTTAAAGAAGATACCTGTCACACCATTAGTGTCTGAATTCAGACAACAGAACCTGAGGCCTCTTGCCTAATTTCATCAAAAGTGCGAATATTTTAAAGACAGAGTTATTATATCCCATGTTATTAGTATTCCCATGCCAGCTGCCAGCTGCCCCCTGAGAATCCATGTTAAAATCAGAGAGGAAAAGCAGCGGGTTGGTTCAGCTGGTTCAGCTCACCCTTCTTGTGTGCCATTCCCCCACCCCTTTGTTTTCTCTTCATACGTTTGGGTTTTGTGCTCTGAGAAGATGTGTAAATGTGCGTTTACTTAGGGTGGGTGGTACGCACGTGGAGAGGGTGCAGATGTTCTTCTGCCCAGAGAAGTTCAAGCGTCCGGTGGCAAAAGCCCTGTCCTGGTTCATCATGTCCGACACCTGGGCGGGGAGGTAGTTAGTGGCAGCCATGAACATCTTTCCCATGTAGCCACTCCAGGTGGAAGGCTCTTCTGGGCGACTAGGGAGCAGTGCAGAGACAAGGATGTGATTGGCTGCTAGCACCAAACTCGTCCAGTAACCTACACATCTCAACGTTCTGAACCGAGTGCTCCGCAACAGGCAGAAACTGTGCCTCAGCACAGTGTTCTACCCACCGAGTCATTATTCTGGCAATAACAAAAGAGCACCAAGGGCCTCTTTGTCCTTCCGATGAACCACTGTGAAGCTCTTAAAAGGCTCTCAATGCTACTGCTTTCTTACATTAAAAAAGCATATCTGATGATTAGCCTCACTGCTAGATTTCTTACAGAGGGCAAGGTTAGAGGAATGAGATGCAATCGATATCTGGATCCTATAAAATGAGCTCAGGTCTGTTCAGGGCTCGAGGAAGAACAGACAGATCTCAGTGTGAAGGCTCCTGAGCCAGACTGAGTGGGACGCTAGAGGCTAGCCTTCAGGCAAGACACACGGAGGCGGTGGTGTCTGATTCCAGCCCTGAAGCCTTCAGGACCCCCATATACACAGTGCATGAGTACCTCACAGGGACCTAGAGCGCCCCCTGCAGTCCTGGAACTTCATCCCCAGGCTTCCAGGAGACAGAGGGTGGGACTGCCCTTCTGAGAGACACCTCCATCCATTCTGCTCTTACGGCAGCACTGGAGGACCAGGGCTCCCACGTAAGCTCCAGGACACCCCGTGGTGATGCCACTTGTCTACAGGACCAGATCCCAGTGGGAAACCTAGTGCCATCCAATTTTTACTGTTACCAACTAGTGAGGTGCAGGTGTTCTTTGGACATACCCCTCTGGGCTTTGATCTACTGAACCACAAGTGACCCTTCTAGGCAGACCTGTACAGTGGTCCTGGAGTAAGCAGCTCTGTGCTCCAGTTTGGGATTCACAGAGGAATGACAGACATCCAGACCCTGCATTCAAGGTGGAGACACAGCACACCTGCACAAACAGGAAAACAACCTCAGCTGCTGTGCATGGAGCCACATAACCGGTGCAGGCAGGAGTTAACTCCAGGACCACAAGGGAGTGGAAGGGGGAAGTTTTTAGCCTCTTGGTCTCCACGTTTCCTCATCTGGAAAACAGACAGTCTGCAGGCTTGCTGGGTGAACGAAGGAGGTTCAGCCTAGAGCGGGGCATACAGCAAGGGGCTCAGAGGCTGGAGGGATGCAAGAGTTTCTGGGGTGGTGGCAGCTGGGCTTTGCAGGCAGGGGAGGAGTTGTCGCTTCATCCCCAAGGACAAAGAGGACGAAGGTTCTGAGGATGTATTACGTTCAAGGGGGCATTTTCCTAAGATTAATCCAGCAAGAAGATACAAGATGGACTGGTCCAATGAGGCTGGGCAGGATGAGACCAGATACAAGTTAATGAAGTTAAAGACACAGATGAGGGCCGTGGCCGGTGATACAGGACTAAAGAGGTAAATGGCAGTGACACTGTCTGGGAAATAACAGTACTTCAAGGACAGGCTGAGGAGACACCCTGAAGGAGTAGAAGGTCTCCCCTCAATCATCTGTGGCCAGTGAGGGTACAGGGCAGCTCAGAGAGGGCAACGTGTTCCCTACCCTATGCACTGAAGGCAGATCCGAGAGGACAGGGCTGAGGCAGTGGCGGGGGAGCACTTCCTCCCTGGTCAGAGAACCTCAGGAGTAAAAAGTACCTGACCCACCGCGCTATCATCAAGGACTTACCCACTGCAACAGAGAACAAATGAAAGCTCATACTGCTGTACACTAATACATACAGGAAGGAAGCCAGTACCACCTCATTCTAATCGGATAGAAAAAGTTGTTTTCCTCATGAAAGTCCTATGCCATGAGAGAAGAACCTCCAGTCCCAGAAGAGAGTCTCCTCTTCCCACTCGTGTGAACCCCAGCACAGGAGTGCACATAGGAGATGCTTGTGAGCAGTGCTGGCTGGAGTTTCCCCCAGAGAAGCCTGGCAGGGAGTGAAAAGTTTCACTTCTTAAGGACCCCAGGTCAGCTCTGAGCAAGACACCAAGCACTCTGGACCTCAGTTTCTTCAGTTATCAAGCTCCTACCTTCCTTGCCTTCCAGAACAACTGTCACGGGGACGGAGGGAGGAAGCATGGTAAAAGCTCTGTATACTGCAAATGAACAAGCGTCACCATCATCATTGCTAACTCCGCCACCTGCTTTGAGTCTGACTGAGCAAATTACGAAAACTTCACGTTTCGGGTTCCTATAATGACGCTGGAAGGAAGTATCAAGAGACACAGGTGGCAAAGGACCCCACACACCTACACACAAGGTACAAGCCACCCGTTGTGCTTCCAGAATCAGGGACCACGTGGAGCGGAAGGCGGGGCTGTGATGTTGCTATGGACAGTGGCCTGGGGGGGAGATTCTGCCCTGCTTCCGGGTACAGATAGCTCCAAGTGGGCATGGCCGCAGACACAGGAGATGCTTAGCAGCTCTAAGCTAATGCTCACACTCTACCGCAGGCAGAATTTCAGGGTCCCGTGCCTGTGCCTCAGAACCTGTATAGTAATGAGACATCAGCTACGTGACCACGTTATGTTATATGGCCCAGGTGGCCTTAGGCGGGAGATTGTCTGGGTAGGCTCTGACCTAGGCACATGTAGAAATTTTAACAGAGACCATGCTAGGGATGGAAGTGTGGACTTGCAGTTTCAGCTTCTCAGGAAGCTGAGGTAGGAGGATCACAAATTCGGGGCCAGCCCGAAGAACTTCGCTGTACCTCATCTCAAAAACAAAACAAAACAGAGCAAAACAAAACAAAGACAACAAATCCTAAACCACAGACTTCTCTTGAAGGACCTGCCTTCTTGACAGTACCGAGAATGCACTTGGACAATGATTCTGAGCTCCAGAGGGGAACACAGGTGGTGTTCAGACACCTCCATTTCAGCCCTAGGAACCCTAAGCAGAAGATCCAGCCAGCCCAGCCAGCCCATCCTGGGCGTTTGGCCTCCAGAACTATGACATAGACACGTGCTATTTGAAGCCATTACATTTGTGCTAATTTGTTACAGCAGTATTGGAAACTAACATGCTCACCATTAGCTACAATGTGACACACACTTTATACAATCAACTCTCATGCCATACAGGGGCATGGAAAGTGTTTCAAGCACTCACTGATAGTGGTAATCACAACAATAACTATGTTACTCTATTTATAGCTATGCTGGTTGGTGCTTATGGGTGCTGCTATGAGCCAGGGCTATACCAAATGCTTTATACAACTCATTTCATCCTTTTATTACCACAAGCCTAAGAGGTATATACTATCATGTGATGAGAAAAGTGAAATACAGAAAAATCAAGTAAGTGACCTTCTCAAGGTTTCATAGCTTAGAAGGGGCTGAGCTGGAATGTGAGCTCAGGTGTGTGGCCCAATTTTTGTGCTTTTGTGCATGATACCACAAAAGTTTTGCTAGTGTGGTGCTCTACCGTGGTGCTAAAGACAAAGCCAAGTGTATGGAGCTCAGAAGAAAACAAATCTCTTATGCCGATGTACCTGTTGGTGAGGTTCTCCAGCTTGAAGATGTGCACAGTCTCCGTGTTGCTGGAGGCACACAGGAACTGTGAGTCCATACTGAAAACCAGGGAGCTAATTGTCACATACCTAGAAACACCAACGTATGAACCAAGAAACCAGAAAAAATGAGGGTTATTGCCTTTTAGTTTCAAGACCAGTTTTATGAGAAAAGTTAACATATCCTGAAGAACTTAGATATTCTAAAACCCCTTAAACATCGAGTTATTTAGATCTGGAGAGCAACACCAGAAAGATGAATAAAGAGTCACAGTCTCAGGTGCAAAGAATAAAGCATGGCCCATCCTGCCAGCCAGTGGAGGGGAAAGTGTGCACCCTTTGGACACCGTGGAGGCCTTCCAGGTGCTCCGTGCACAGATCCAAACATAAACCCTACAGCTGAGAAGACCCCAAACACCTTTCATTTCACAGAAGAGACTTAGAAATTATTTTTGGATTGTGACTCCCTGGTTTTCTTACTTCTCTTCTGTTGGTTGCCTATCAAAAAAAGGACTCTCATGCCTGAATGCTTGTGGTGAAACAGCAACTCCTCTTTCAGTTTTACTAAGCCCTGTGTGGGGCCCTGAAGTCAATTACCTGAGACAGTACAGTAATACTTCCTGTAGGTGACAGGAGGCCACAGCCTCTGTCCTCCCCCAGATGGCTACCCTAGGGCCGCCGAAGCCCTCCAGTGGGAAATGTAAAATGGGTTTGACACCAAGCACAGACCTTTTCATTCCTCTGCGAAATTCATAGAGCTTTTGCCCATCAGGTACAGAGAACACCCGGATGACTGTGCCCTGGAAAAGAAAGCAGGCGGACAGTTTCTAACCATTAGTGGCTTCACACAGAGATGTCCCCTCAGACAGTGGTTTGTCTTATTGGTTTTCAACATCTGTCTCTGAGGATGAAGCACAAAGCAGGACAAAGAGGCATTTTTAATTATATGTGCCGAGTGAGTGATTATTAGAACATGTATTAAACACATACTGCCTGACTGCCTGTCCCTCCCCACCCGTTTAGGGCTCCATGTGTCTGTGTGTGTTACTGTGTACGCATGTGTGTGCATATGTCTCCCGGGGAGCAATGGCTTCATAGCTACAATAGCCTCTCTGCCTCACAAACAGCCCTGCTCCTCATGGCATCTCAAATTCAACCTGATCACCTTCCCTGATTATTCCAGACAGAAGGGACCACTCTCTCTCTGGCTAACTAGCAAAGCATTTTGTTTGTACTGCTTATGAAATGTAGCATCTATCCATTCCAGGGGTGCACATTTCTCAAGAAGACCACAGTGTTTGTGCAGAGTGTTTGTATCTCCCCTAGCGCAAAGCCTCTATCTACTGAATTAGCAAGTAATCAACAGACAACAGTGTGCAAAGCCTGAAGTTCTCACTCTGAAACACTCGAAGCAGGCTCAGGACCAGTCAGTCTCCAGGTCTCCAGCCTCATTCCCTCAGATCTCTGGCACCTCGGAGGTAGCCAGGGAGGGGATCTGACGGGGGATGGGAGTACACTCACTTTCGCAGATGCGCTTGCTAGTTTGGAGCCCGAGGAGTTGAAGGTGATGGCAGCCAGTGTCCCCTCGTGGGCAGCGATGGTGCATACTGTTTTCTGTTGGTGAAAAGGAGAAGCAGCTACTAATGCCATGGAAGAAGGAAGATGGATTTCATCTCCTTCCTTTCTCTTTCTTTTTCTTCTGTCTTTCTCCTTTACTGGGTTTCCTCTGTCTCTCCCCACCAGCCTATTTGCATACAAGCTGCACATCCTTTTCAGCTGTGTAATGGTTCAGTTTCAAGAGCGACTCCATTTCTTACCTCTTTCCTGACCTTAGGAAGGTGGGCATTGAACCGTGGGTCTGATGGACACCAGAGCTGTGATGGTCTCCCCCAAAGGGAACTTCCCACCACAGATCGGGACCGTCCCACTCTGTCAAGCTTTGGAGACCAGAGGGCAGCAAAGAGCTGTTTGCTGTCTTAGGTCACCAGTGTGACCTGCCAGCTGATGGCAGATGATTCCCCTCCTGCTGCAGATGTTTTGCCCTGGCCTGTCACCTGCCCGTGGTGGTGCAGACTGATAGCAAAGCCAGGGCAAATACACTACCTTCCCCTCCACATCCACCCACTCTGGCTGGAAAATGCCCCCACCATTTCTTCCACCCCCACAATACCTCCTTATCTCCTTTATTCACCACAGAGCAAGACAGGCGGCAGGCGGGACCACTGTCAACTTACCAGAGAGTTTCCATCGTAAAGCACAATCTCGCCTGTAGTCAGGCTTCCAGGATAGGCCAGGTAAGAATTGGAATGGTTGATAGAGAGGGCACACAGACCTGGAGAGGAATCAACAGGAGATGAAAAGCCAGTGTGCAAGGGACAGAAAACTGGAAGGTTGAAAAGAGCACCTGCAAACAGCACAACTAGAGTGCCACCTACTGGTAAGGGGAGGAATGGCTTTGAGAGATTTCTGTGGATTATTCTAATCAAAGGATTCCAGTAAAGAAAATTCATAGAAGATGGCATAATTTAACACCACCATGTCCTCTCCACATCTAAGCAATCAAAATGTAGAATTTTTTTTTGTAGCAGGGATTTGAACTTGGGACCTTGCACTTGTGAGACAGGCAGCGACACCACTGAGCTAAATCTCAGGCCCCAGAATGTAGAATATTAAAAATGCTCTTCTTCACATTTTTACCCCTGGGCCTGAAGCCACATCTACTTCTATGGCACACATGGCTCAGCAGGCTGTCATCACTGAAAGCTTTGCAAGTTTTGCTTGAATGTACTCACAACTGAAAGAGAACTTCCAATCATGAAAGGTTAGCATGTGTTAGCCCTTCTTCAAGTGATTGAATACACTTGGCTGGCAGGTTCCAGGTGCAGGACAGGCGAAGCAACGAACCTATGCAACAATTGTTCCTTTATGAGCTCATGTCCTGCTTTGAGAAGGGCAATGGCTGCCGCTGCCTGCCAAGGTGGAAGCTCACCGGAGCTCCTGCCTCAGCCAATAGGGAGTGCCTCACTTTTGGAAAAGTGAACACATAGAACCAGTTGAATTCAAGGTGCTTCAAGGCTGGGGTAGTAGCTCAATGGTAGAGCGTTTGTCTAGCAAGGATGAGGCCCTGGGTTCCATCTCCAGGCTATGTGTTTGTGCATGCGCACACGCGTGCACGCGTGCACACACACACACACACACACACGCACACACACACAGCTTCACCAAGCTAATCAAACCATTGCACTGCAGTAACATAAGCCATTTGTATTTACAGAGGGATTCAGGGGCATGCACTGGTCTGAACAACATTTAAGAGAAGGCTTCACTACAAGAATTTAGAGTAACAGAGTTAGACATGTCAGCAGTGAATTCCAGGAACTGTATAGAACCAAAGCACTACCCAATAGAAACTCAGAGAAGATGGTACAAAAGAAATGTCTTTTTAAGTAAAAAGAGGTAACTAATATCTTGGTTATAAGTTAGTGTCCCTTAAAGTAAAGAACTTTGGATCAGGCTTGAAAGGCTCCTTACCAAATTTGCAAGGGAAGCAGAGTAGAGAAAAAATATCAAATGATGCTTGGGACTAGGTCCTGTTTCATACTGTCTTTGCCAGGGCTGTGCTCACATCTCTTGCCAAGCAGAGCTCCAGAAGGAAAGCAGCTGAATCCAGGCACCCTTAACTGTATGTTCTGGAATCACTACAACCCCGCCTATTTGAGGCCTGGCCTTGGCCTTGGAAGAGGCCATGCACCCCTTCCCATTGCTTTGGGAACCCCAACTCCCCATCCCATCTGAGTTCTCTGCAATCTGATGGAAGTTCAAGAGCAGCTAGACAGGGGGGAAGATATTCTGGGCCTGTAAAGCCCAGGAGGGAAGAAGCCAGGAGGTGGCCTGGGCTAGGCTGATGGATCCTGTAGATGCAGCGGGGGAAGGGTGGGCAAGACAGACTGTGGCAATGGACGGGGGCGCCACCCTGAAGAGTTGTGATCTCACAGAGGCACCACTGGTAACCACTGAGGGCTTCGGAACACATGCTGAAAAAAGGCTGTGTTAAAACCAAAATGAGCTCCTGCTACAATAAAAAAGACCGGGTAGCTGTTGTTAAGGAGACAAAGTCAACAGACGCCTGTACCCCACTGGTGGAATGTACAGTGGGGCAGTGCTGTGGACAGCTTCCTGGCAGTTTCTCAAAAGCTAAACATGGCACTATCATAAAACCCAGAAATTCCGCTCCTGCATATACACCCATGAGAAATCCAAACTCCTGTCACACAGGAGACTTCTGTATGAATGTTCATAGCAGCATTACTCAGTGCAGTCAGAAAGTGGGACAACTCAAAATATCAGCTGATGAATGAATAAAATATGGCATGTTTTTATAGCAGGATATTATTTAGCAATAAAAAGGAACAAAGTACCGATACATACTACAATATGAATGAACCTTGAGAACATGGTGACAAAAGCTAGACACAAAAGTCTACATATTATCTAAATCCACTGATAACGCAATGTCCAGAAGAGATAAATCCGTTGAGACAGAAAGTAGGTGAAGAGTTGCCTGGGGATGGGGGAACACAGGGTGATAGTTAAAAAGTACAGGGTTTTTTGGGGCTAATTTTTGGGGTTCTAAAATTAATTGTGACTATGGTTACACAATTCCGTGAATATACCAAAAGCTACTGAACTCTGTACTTTAGATGGGTGAATTCTAGGGCATGTTATTTGTATCTCAATACCCTCTCCAATTTTTTTTTAAAGAAAAGACTGTGTTTTGAGAATATTTACCCAGCAGACTCAGGCTGAAGACAGGACTCCAGATACCGATCTGTGTGGTGTAACTCTGGCTGAGGCAACTGTGGCCCTTTTGGGCCCGATTCCTATCTGAAATGAAGGGACTCCAGTGATGAACCCTTCTCCTGCTGTAACATTCCCGGGAGCCAAGGCTTCCGTGACTCATCTCCTTCCTCCGAAAGTAAGGAGCACGTCCTTGTGCTAGGGAGAGCGAGGAGGGGCCTGAGCGGGAGCCTTGGAGGAACACTTCCACCGTCCTCCAGAGTTCTGGGTTAAGATATAAATAGCCCGGAAAGGAAGAAAGGCTTGAGCATGTTTAGCTACCTTTGAACTTTCTGGAATACCTAACACAGAGTGAGACGGCCCTGGATTCTGACAAGAGAAGGACAAGGGATAATGGTGCGGGGAGGCGGGCTGTGGCACATACCGCTTATTTGACAGCTGTGCCTCCAGGCCTGTACCTCTGCCAAGTCATCTGAAGTTAACAGAGGGATCCTGTTCACAGATCCTTAATGGAGGTCCCCAGAAATGCTTAATGTGAGTTCCTTCCTGTGGTCCAAGTCTCAGATACTCCAACCAGCTACACCAATCTGTGTTGTGCGGTGAGTGGGAAGACTTCCTCCAGGTGTACCCGTTACCATTCCACAGTCCTGTTTCCGTCCCAGGTGTCACATGCAGCCTTTTTAGAAAAAAGTGGGCTATTTTGATATTATTTTATAATATAAACGAGATGGTGTAGCAAATTTACAGAGCCCCCAAAAATACAAAGAAAGAAAAAAAATCAGCCATGATTCTAAAACTTGGGTTATTTTGTTCCTCTCATATTTGAACAGAGTTTCTTCTAGTCTTTTTTCTATATAGGAATGAAGCTCTGATAGGGCTTTTCGACTTGTTTTAGACTTGACATATATTTTTGTAAATCGTGGTCAGCTGTCATTTCACTGCAATTGGCTGTACCTCTTCCACAGCTGGGATAGGAAGACTTGCTATCAATCCAAGAGCCAATGACATTCCCAGCTGCAATGAGAAGGAAGTCCCATAATTCTCAATGATTCTCACCTTGACACTCAAAATATTACATGTCAAACTTTAGGCAACTCAGAGGGAATTGGTCTTGAAAACTGGTTTCCTCACTAATGCCCCAAAAGTTACTTTTCAGGGTTGGAGATATAACTCAGCAGTACAGTGTGTGCTTAGCATGCATGAGACCCTGGGTTCAATTCTGTCACACACACACACACACACACTTTCTAGTTTCCCAAAACAGAAAAAAAAAAGCTTCTGTGTCATGCACATGCCCCATGCAACTAAAAAAGAGTCTTTTTACCATCTGTGTTACTCTTTGCAGGAAGTGGAATTGCTGTGTATAAACCAGCACTCTTGTTCTACAATTACATTGCTGTGTGATATAGGATACTCCCTCGTTTTCCATAAAAAATGGTCAGGTTTGTGACCCCCATCCCCACCCCATGCCAAGTTCTACACCTGCCGAGACTTCATGGAGAGTTCCACCCTTGGCTGCTCAGGACACTGACTGCTGTGCTAGCAAGAAATTAACTTCCAGCCCCGTATAGCTTGAAAGGAAGCTGCCAGCAATCTTTGATACAACAGGAACGGGCATGACCCAAACATACACAGAAGGGAGGAAATTTACAGCCTCCTTGGATGCTGAGCATGAAGCAATGGGGAGCTGTAATCTAACTTATCTGAACTGCCGTGGGGTGAACACACTCAGAATGTGTGTGCTCAGGCCGACCCGACAAATGATGCTGCTTCCCTGTGTACACGGGGGGGCTTCAGAAACCAGAAACCAAGCTTTCCATTTTACAGTTTTGTTCAGAAAATAAGCCAGGGAATGGGGACCCTGGACTCTGGTGACTTTACACTTGTGTTTTTGACAGCTTAGAGGCCTGAAGTTTCCCAAGCGAGGAAGTGCTTGTGCTTGGAAGCTTGACTTGAGGGGCTGACGAGGGAACCCAGCCGACTGCACTGGAGGACAGGGCATCCTCGCCTCGGCTCACTCACGTGTGACCTCTGTTAACCCTCTCCGTGCAGCCCTGTGGGCTCACCGTGGTCATTTCATTTCACTAAAGTAAAAAAACAAGTTCAGGAGAAACTCAACGGGTCATTCTAAATTTGGGATTTGCTCCTAAAATCTATATGGAATCAAAAAAGATCCAGAATGGCCAAAGCAATCTTGAGCAAAAACAGCAAAGCTGGAGGTATCACAATACCAGATTTCAAGTTATATTACAAAGCTACAGCACAAAATAACATGGTACCCACCCCCCGCCAAACAGACGTAGAGCAGTGGAATGGAACAGAAGCCACAGAAGTAGCCACACACACCTATCATTATCTCCTTTTTGACAAAGAAGCCAAAAACACAGAGAAAAGGCAGACTGTTTAGCAAATGGTGCTGAGAGCAGTGGGTATTCCCTTGTGAAAGACTGAAATGACCCTACCTCTTAACCTGTACTCTAAGCAAATCAAAATGGAGCAGAGACCTAGATATAAAAACAGAGACTTTGAAACTGCTGGACAGTGACACGGGAAACACTTGAAGCCATGGGCTTCCTGAGTGGAAGGCTAATAGCTCAGGAAATAACATTAAGAATCAACAAATGCAAATGAAATCAGCAACAGAATGAAAGGACAATCAATGGGATGGAAGAAAATCTTCTGCTAACTACTTGAATATAGTGAATATATAGTGAATAAAGAATGCAAAATAATTAACCGGCCTAAAACAAATGATCCAATCCAAAAATGGGCAAATGAAATGAGTAGACACTTCTCAAAAGAAAAAGTACAAATGACCGAAAGGAACATCAAAAAACTTCATCATCCCTAGCTGTCAAGGAAATGCAAATTAAAACTCCTCTGAGAGCCCATCTTACCCCAGCCAGAAGGGTTATCGAGAACACAACAACAAATGCTGGTGAGTGTACGAGGGGACATGAACTCTTCCACATTTTTGGTAGGAAATTAAACTAGCACAGCCACTATGAACACCAGCATGGAGAGCCTCAAAAAGCTAAACATAGAAATCGCTTTGGAGTCAGCAGTGCCACTCTTGGGTATATTCTCGAAAGAACTGGAAACATTTCCAGTGATAGATGCAGACTCACGAAATATGCCTTGAAGCCATTATCTCACAGAACATTTGAATGGTCTCAGTGACTGAGATTTTAAAGTCCCCAAATCAGGGCCTGGAAATACAGTTCAGAGGAACAGCATGTACTTAGCATGTGTAATGTTCTGGGTTTGGTTCCCCCTCCCCCCAGCAACACACACATGTACAGAGTGGGGGGGATGTCTACATAACTGCGATGGAAAGAAGGAATTGAGACACAGGAAGTATTTATTGCACATCAAGTCCTGTGCTGGTCACTTGCACAAATGTCACCACATTTAACGCTCAGCTGATGCTGTGAGATGCCTGTGACTATTTCTTACAAAGAAGGAAAGAGGCTCAGAGAGCCTAGGTCACTTGGGTGGAACCACAGAAACCTTGAAAAGCCACGAAAGTCAAAGAATTAAGAAACTACAGTAAATAGAAGGAGCCATTCGATGATACCAAATGGGAATACAATTTATAAATATTAACCTGAATCATTAGACACAGACACTACTGTCATGTGATGACTCCCCCTACCCCCTTCCAGAAAAGGATTCTTTCTCCGTCACTTTTCTACTCAATGAATTTCATAAAAGGTCATTATCTGTTATTTCAATCTAACAAATTCAAACAGCTTGGATTCTTAACCACACATTGATAAACAGTGTTAAATCCTGAGGAGAACTTAGTCATGTCCAGTACCCTAGCAGATTGTTCAAGAAGAGAAATTTCTTTGTGATATAATAAAATATACCCTATGGCCGGGGATTTAGTTCAATGGCACCGTGCCTGCCTTGCGAGCACAAGCTCCTGAGTTTGATCCCCGGTACCACACACACAAAACACACTCTTTATGGTGGATTATCTTTTTCCTAGCCGTGCAGACACACCAAGTCAAAACTTGCTTATAATTATTACCTTTACTTCATACTACACAACCTCAAAAAAACGTAAGGGTAAATACCTTTCAACTTTAGACACATGAAATCTCCTACGCAGATACTGTACATGCCTTAGCCCATTTGCTAACAGAGGCTTCTCGGAGGCTGCAGTGAAGCCCACACAGCTCTCCCGGAGGACCCACAGCCTGATAGAATTTGAGTCGACCACCATGGAAACTTCGCCATTACAACAACAAAGTGTGCCCGCCACTTCAGGATTTCAGTCCATTTAGAAACACGGTGGAATAAAGAGGTGCCTGAACATGCAGTCTGCGTTGTCAACTTGTGGTTGAAGCTCACCTGTTGGGTTTGCAGGAATATCCAGGAGGGTTTTCAACAGCTTCATATCCTTAATGTTGTGGATATAGATGGACTCTTCCAGGCAAACCAGTAACCTCTGTAATCATAAAGACTCGTCAGCCTCAGCATGGACTGACTCCATGACCAGGAACCCAAACCGCTGTCTTCCACTGAGTCCTAACCTGATCACATGTCCAGAGAAGGGGTTTTGATGATGTCATTTGGAGGCCGTGTTTATTTATGGGCACGCACATGTGACTGTCCACTTGAACAGAAGCTTCAAACATGGCATCTTAAGAAAAGAGACCTGCCAGCCAACTTCTGTCTCTGTCCCTGTCTCTCTGACCTTTTCTGTCTTTTCCTCTTTCCAGTACTTCCCTCTCTTAGAACAGGGATTCCTGAACACTTGATCACATTCGCTTTTCCATTTAAAATCATTTGGGTCACCTCTTTGGCTCTTATTTCTACCTGACAAGCTGCCTTTCAATACTGGGAACAAAGGTCTCCCTCAGACAAATGTGGGTTTCTTTGCAGTTTCTGTATCATTACATCTCACATTTACCCTTTTCCAAATACAAGTTGAACCTCCCCAATCCAAATTTTCAAAGTGATCTGGCTAAATCTGAGCATTGGCACTTAAAATTTTTCAGATTTTAGATTTTCAGATTAGCAATGCTCAACCAGCAAAGTCTATACAAATATTACAAATTCTGAAAAACTCCAAAATCTGGTCAATTTCTGGTCCCAAGCATTTTAGCCTTTAGTTACCAGATTTCCCTTCATTCCAAACTCTCCTCTAGATCCACTGTTGTGCCACTCCCCATAGCCCTGGTAAAGGGAGCTGGTGGGTGGATGTCTCATGTAGAAGCCATGAAAGTCAAAGGCCCAGTCCCTACCCAGCTCCTCTCTCGGGTGCTCTTCCACTGAGAGCCATCAGATCCTACTCTTCCTCCTGAGAGCCTACCCGTTGTCGAGTCTCCTGCCAAGGTGGTGCTCTGTGCTTTTAGGAATTGAAGGCAGAGCCCAGCCCAAGCCAGGGGCAGGCAGAGGAGGTGCTGGGAAGGCAATGGTGGTCAGATCTCACTTTCCACATCCAGAGCAGCTCCGTGCAGTCCAGCACAGGCCTGACGAGGTTCCCTCAGGTGAGTGCTTCTCAGACTGGGACGAGCACCAGAACCACCCAGGAGTCAGCTGGGGGCATCTTTAACCCAGATGAGTTTGATGAACACAAGGCTAGAGATCCAGGGCTCTCGGGCCAGATCCCCTGAAGCCCAGGAACACCGGTACATGAAAATAGCACCAAAAGGTGGCAGACTTTCCTCCAGGGAGAGTTTGTTTCTACTAAGACTCCTCGGAGATCAGAGAAATGGAGACCATCAACTTTAGGTAGAAAAATAAGGTTTAAATGCTTTTCTATTTTAATAAGCCTCCGTGCCACAGGTCTGAGACTGGGTGCTTAGTGGTTAAAACAAAGTCCTAACAGAGCCTCAAAGTTGATGACAAGCATTAGTTTCTCTGTGAAGTTATATTCTCTAATGGTCTGGATAATTTTCCATGCTTGTTTCTGCTCTGAGGTTGCCGCACCCTCTGTGTCCCCTCCTCCCAGCTCTGCACATGATCCACACAACAGCAGGGCCCCACATGAACCCCACATGAGGCTCGGCTGATCTGAACTATGTCATTGCCCATCCATGCTAACAGTGCCACCCGCCCTTTGGTCCCACTCTGCTGAATCTCTGGTCACCCCCACACCAGCTGCAGAAAAGAATTAAGAGGGAGAGAAAGAGAGAAAAAGCACTGGAAGGGAAGACACTTCATTTTGGTCCACATGAAAGCATGCTTCTAGAATGAGCAAAGCCTGGTAACTGCCTTCTGCTGCCTGCCTGCCTATCTGTCTGTCTGTCTGTCATCTATGTATCTATCCATCTGTGATTAAAGCAGGGCCTTCAAACTAAGCTACTTCTCCAGCTCTTTTTTCATTTTGAGACAGGGTCTTTCTTGATAAGTTGCCCGAGGAAGACTCTGCCTCAGCCTCCCAGAGTGCTGGGATGAGAGGTGTGTGCCCCATGCCCCTCAGTAACTGTTTTCTTAATCAGTTGGCAGCAGAACCATGGCCTCAGCCCATTCTTGGTCACCTTGGCTTTCATCCACTTTCTCAGTTTTATAAGTAGTATTCCTTTGTATCAATTTAAAAGGTTTATCGAGTCTGCTGCACAGCACCATAAATTTAGCCTCAATCCAACCAAACTGGATAACCAGAAGCAAAAGCCAAAGAACTGTAATTTTTTTTATAATTTAAATACATCTGCTTTATTGTCTTTATCCCATAAGATACACTTCACAAGTAATACAAGAAGTATAACATCAAATAAAAATGAAAGATATTACAATTCCTAAAGATTTTTCCTTTTGTACATTTAGCAGAACATAGAGATTTCTGTTTGCTTATAATTCCTCATACAAATTTTGTAGCTTCTTCCTGTTTTAAGAAGGAACCACATGCAGCAGGCTGGCCCCTGCAGACGGGTCCTGCACTCTTGCCCCTTCTGCTTCCCCTGGCCCGGAGCTCTGCAGCACTGTGGACCCCTAGCCACCACGGAGGGGCTACTGTCGTGAGGGGTTCTGAACCCAAACTGAAATGTTTCAGAAAAGCAAACCCCAAACACTTGTCAGACCAGCCTCAAGTCATTTTCCTAGGCAAAGGATTGCTACAGATCTGGCTTCGCATTAGTTTGGTTCACATTAGCTGAGCAGTGCTGAGGGCGTGGTGTTCTCACGAAGATGGGGCATGAGGACCTCAGGTTAATGAGTGTCGAACTGAGTGGTGGCTGGCACTAAAGGGTAACAGACACACACCTGAAGAGTCTTTCCCTGTCCCATTTGCTAATGAAAATGCCAGACAGGAAAAGAGAAAGCACACAAGTGAACACAACAGTTATTACTCCAATAGATACTGTTAAGAACGTTTGACTAAACAGTCTTAAAAAGATAATTAGGTGTGAGAAAAAGACATTTAACCTATATATACTGGCTACTATTGTATGCAAAAATAAAAAGTTCTTCAAAAGTTAACAAAGAGCTTGAGCCAAGAATTCTTCTTATAAGCCTTCTTGTAGAACTCCCTCAAACTGCCTTCCCCTATCTTGACAAGAACCCAGACTTCTTTTCTCTCTTGTGCCTTCTACTGCTCACTGAAAAGTTTTGTTTCCTAGGCTGTTCTACCACCCTCCTTTCTAGGGACCTAAGTGGACGCTCAATCTAAACAGCTGATTGACTCAAAGCAGCAATCTTTTGCATCACTGAAATTTAAGAAAGCTTTTTTTTGTTTGTTTCATTGTGAAGAAAATTAGTACTTAATAGCTTAGGTACAAAGAAAAAAAATCTTTAGTGAATGCAGCCACCTCCACTTTCCTGGGAATATGTAACTGAACAGAGAACTCTGGATGCTCACACAAACGGTCTCTTTCTTTGTGTATATAATAATCAGGAAACAGACACTTCTGAGCACTTTTCCACCAAGTCTTGAAGTACTGAGCAAAACTGCCATGAACTGTGCTCTCATTGGATGTAAAATTCAGTAACTGCAGAGATCTGCTGATACCTCAAATGCTTATTTCACAAGAACTTATATTTTTAAGATAATATATTACATATATTGCATATTTGAGATAAGAATAACCCTTCCTTTAGCAGGCATGGTGGTGCAGGCCTGTAATCCCAGCACTCGGGAGGCTGAGGCAGGAGGATCACTTGTGAGTTCGAGACCAGCCTGGGCTACACAATGAGTAGGTCAGTCTCAACTACATAGTGAGACCCTGTCTCAAAAAACCCTTCCTTCAACAAATAAAATGCTACAAGAAAACATCTTTAGGAGTTAGTTGGAAAAAGGAACGTGAGAGCACAAGACCTTGCAGCTGACCTGCCAGGAAAGCCCATATAGATGGCAGAAGGGTGATTTTTTCCACCCGTCTTCAGAACTAACCAGGAGGGTCACACTCCAGCCTCAAGTGTCTCATTTTCAAAGCCAGAATCACCTGCTGCAATGAATGCCCCTGTCTAGGCCAAGGTCAGAAGACTCCCTGGTCTGGTTTCACATTCACAACGGGTCTGTAACTCACATGTCTCTCTGCTGGCCAGTGCTGAGCTACTGGTGGTACATGCACGACTGTTCCACTGGGTGGCATGGCACAGTCATGCATGTGCCTCTGGTGGTGCAGCCCAGTGGGAACATGCTAAGGTGACCCTTCTGAGGCTCAAGGGAAAGACCAGGGATGCAGAGTACATGGCTGACACTGGAGAAAATGGGGGCGGAAGGGACAGGGAAAATTCACCACTAAGAAATGAACAACATGGAGTGGATGCTGTCTACGCTATGCCTATGGCACCAGATGTGCAAGCTGAAATCAGCATTAGCATTTGATGCTATTTATTTATTATTTCAGTACAGAGAACTGAATCCATGGAATTCACACTGACTCATATCCCAAACATGTTACAATTAACATTAGCATTTGATGTTTAATTAATTAAATAACTGCAGTACTATGGATCAAACCTAGTACCTTAGTACTGAGCTGCATCCCCAGCCCTTTATTTATTTTTTATTTTGAGACACTAAGTTGTCCAGGGTGGGCTCTAACTTGGGATCTTTCTACCTCAGCCCCTCAGAATGCTAGGATTACAGGTGTTTGTCATCATACCTGGTTGATACTTGTTTTAGAGATACTCATCATTTTTTTCCCCTATGGCTCCAGTCAGCAGAAGCCATGAAACTTTAAGGCTTTCATTTCCGTACCTGCCGGTTCAGCTTTATGGACAAGATGTTGCTGGAGTAGCTGTAGTTGCAGATCTCTGTGCCTTTCTTGAAGTGATACACGTTCATTTGCCGTGGCTTTGTGTGACTCACCACCACCACCAGGCTGCTGGAGAAGAGGCGCTCCACGATGTAGACGTTGGGGATTTCGTCTGGAGGGAGGGCAGCGTCAAGGTTACTCGGATGGTCCCTGCAGCAGCGTTCGCTGACTGCTGCTCACCCTCAGCAGACATTCATGGCAACCCCTACACCCCCACTCCCACCAGGGAGCCCCGATCGCCTCCCAGGGCAGCACTCAGAGACCAGGAGATGCTGGTGACCAGAACCACCTGGGTGCTGTGTGCATGACTGATCACCCCCAGGACCAAGGCGTCCACTGTTTGCCCTGTAAAATATATTCAGCGGGCTTGGAAATCTCAATCTATCCTTGCCCTAGAGAGATTTCAAAGCTGTGATTACTGGGTTGGGGGCTACTGTCTTCAGAATCATTCTTGTCCTGCTGGAGGGGTGCCACTCTGGGGAGGGAGCTCAGTAAGAGTTAAATCTGCGTCCCTCCGCACATTTCTGTGCTCCCTGGCCCTCTCTGGAATTCTTTTTCTATTGAAGATAATCTGGACATCAGTATTACGAGCAAGAAAGTACTTCCGTATTCAATACCGGCTAGGCCTCTGTGTCCTTCTGAGACCATCTTGTCATATGCATTCCTTACCTGTGCTTGGGCAAGTCCCACAGGGAACAGCACAGAGGAGCAGATACAGAGCAAGATATTCACAAAAACAGTGTAACAAAAATAACATTTTACAAATGAATAAAGTAAGAGCCCAAAATAATATTTATCAAACCACTTTCTTTCCAGGAAACCCAAGGGTTATATTTTTTAACTGTTTTTGTTTGTTTGTTTGTTTGTTTGAGACAGGCTCTCACTATGTAGTTGAGACTGACCTGGAACTCACTATGTAGCCCAGGCTGTTCTCAGACTCTCAGTGATCCTCCTGCCTCAACCTCCCAAGTGCTGGGATTACAGGTGTGCACCACCACACCCGGCCCTTTTTTAACTGTTGGCAGAAAGTGTTACCTTGAGAAAAATCAGTCATATTTTAAAACTGAATTATTTTTAATATTTGCTAGAAATATATCAATACTGGACCCAGCAGCCATTGCTCAAGCGCCAGGAGGTGGGCCGGCCCCGATCCACTGCGGAAAGGAGAACCACGCCTGCTCCTGACCCAGCAGCCATCGCTCAAGCGCCGGGAAGATAGCCGCGCGGGTGCCCCTGAACCCCCATAACCCCCCCCCGAAGATAGCCGCGGGTGCCCCTGAACCCCCATAACCCCCCCCCGCCCTCCCGCACTCTCAGACCTCCAGACTGTGCAAGTCTTTGGACCCACTCTGCAGAGGCAGAGGTGGTCATCAAGGGTAATTTTCTGAGTTCCCAACTCTGAGA